GGTCAGCAGCCAAGCTCTTCACCACTGTGCCACCAGGGCTCCTTGAGGGGCACAGTTGCCCCCGATTAAGAAATACTGTGATAATTCTTGGTAGCTTCATCTCTGGGCTTCCCCGTGGCCCTGTGTACACTGAGGGGGTGGGTAGATGAGCCCCCTCCAACTTCAAAAAACAAGGATTCTCAAGTACTTGATATTTATGGAAGACTCGCCATTTTTTGACCCATTGCATCATGTGGTCTGGGAAGCTCCGTTGTAGGAAAGGAAAAGACAGTGTGGGATACAGAGGTTTCACCAGGGCGGGAAAGACTCAAATTCATCGTGTAGGAAACCATTTAGGGCTGAAATTCAACTCTGCTCAGTTCTGAAGGAGGACGAGTGAGCCCACGGGGGCTGCATCTGCCTTGTCAGGTGGTCACGGCATCTGACAGCCAAAGAGAATTGGCCACCTGGACTGAACTACCTCATGGGTTCGAGTCCTTATAAATACAGAATTGTTTTCAGAGCATGATTTCATTCTGTGGTTTAGTGATAATTTAAACGAACGAACGAACTAAAAAGTTGCTGTCAAATCAGCCCTGACGCATGACGATCCCATGTGTGTCAGAGTAGAACTGTGCTCCATAGGGTTTTTAGTGGCTGAATTTTTTGGAGGTAGATCCCCAGGTGCCTCGGGGTGGACTTGGACTTGAACCTCCAACCTCCAACCTCCAACTACAGTGATTTAAAAGTGAATTTAAATTTTAAAAAAGCTAATTGAAACAAAAGCGTTGCTTATTAAACTATATCACACCTGCGCATCTGTTCAGCAGGTGACTTGTGGCCCGACTTTGCACCAGGTGTAATGCCAGGAGCTCGAGGTAGAAAAGGGAACAGGTCCAGTGAGCTACCTGCCCTGTGGTACTCAGAGGTGATGGGTGGGAGGCATGGCTGAGGCCTCACAGTGGAACAGGTGGCAGAGCTCCGGCTTTGCCGATCAGAGTGTGTTAAGGAGCCCCGTGAATCGTGAAGTTCTTTCACTCCCAGCATGCAGGGTGGCAGTGCCAGGGCCCTGGGTTTCTGGAAGCCTCGCTGGGCTGTGTAGGCGAGGCATCCCACTGGCCAGGGTCTCGGGATCGTGAACATGCTGAATTAGCAAGGCCAACAGACCTTGGCTTTTCATGCCTCCTGCCTCCGAGCTGGCAGCTGCCCAGGAATGCTCACAAATATAAAATGGACTTTGTTTTTGGAATATTCTGTAGCAGAGGCTCAAAGGCTGCATAAAGACATTCTTGTCGAACTGATTATCTACTAGTGGAAATGGTGCTGGGGCCCTAGAATGGAGCATCCCAGTGTGCAGCCATGTCCGCCTCTGGAATGCCAGGTGTTGGCACTGGGGGATCCTTTGGGTTGGAGGTGTCTCCAGCTTTGCTGCTGACTGACATCTAAGAGGTGCTTCCCAAGGTTCCTATGGATTCAGGGCGCTGAGCTTCGGAGGATCAAGGGCTGGGCTTTCAGAAGCTTGTGTGCTCTCTATGGCTATTACATCTGTGGGACCTTGGTCAGCTCGAAGCCCCAGTTCCCATGCTAGATAACAGCAGCGTGACGGTGCGATGATAAATAATCAGCATTAACCCCAAATCCTTGCTTTTTCACTTCTCTGTTCAGTTTTAACACCAGCCAGCCATGTGGCACTTCTTGTTCTGACTAGCCGCCTGGAGCTAGGTCAAGTTAAAAGGACACTGTCCTTCAGACTATCAAATGGACAGATGTCAGCTGCAAGCTTGGGAACTCCCACCCCTGGGCTCCCTGATTTTCAGCTTGTTGGCTACAGATTCAGGGTTTTTCCTCTGCTCTTTCAGGATGCCAGCTGCAAGCTCAGGAGCCCCCTTGGGCTCCCTCACTTCTGACCTGCTGGCTCCCACTACTCCTTTGGGTTCCACAATTCGCTGGCACAACTCTCAGAACTCATAGCAAGCACTATACTTGGGATTACAGTTTTACTGTAGGAATAAAGAATACAAATGAAGAGATTCATAGGGCGAGGTCTGGGGGTTCCCAACGCAGAGCTTCCGTGTCCCTAAAAGGGACATGCTACCCTTCTGAGTGCATTGATGTCTATCACCAACCAGGAAGCCCATGGAGCATCCATGTTCAGAGCTTCTACCAGGGGTCTCATTACATAATGCACAGTCTAGCCCTTTCCCCAGAGGTCGGTCAGTGTCACAAGATGATCATGAGGTATTGCATGGTGGGTCTTTCTGGCTTGGCCAGCCCCCACTCCAGAGCACCTCATCACCTCATCTAACCTGTCAGTTAGGTGTGATTTGGAGCCTTTACCAAACCCATTGCCATCAAGTCGATTCCAACTCATGGCGACCCTGTAGGACAGAGTAGAACTGCCCCATAGGATTTCCAAGGCTGTAATCTTTACAGAAGCAGACTGCCACATCTTTCTTCCGCAGAACCTACCTGGTGAGTTCCAACCACCGACCTTTCGGTTAGCAGCCAAGTGCTTAACCACTGTACCTCACTCCAGAGTTCTTACGAAAGCACTTAAATTCCAAGGTATTTTTTAGAGTATGTCTCAGGAACTGAGGACAAAAAACAATTTCTTTGGGTAAAGTTAATGTAAACCCCACAGAGGGCCTTGGCCAGGCTGTTCCTGTTTGAATTTTCCATTCTAGAAGGTCTGGATCTGAACTGGGGGGATGGTCTGGGCCCCTCTCTTGTCACTTCCTCCTTCTTCCCTGTTTCTCTGCTGCCCCACTTGCCACCCTGAACCCTAATTCTGGGTTCTTTGTGCCTCACTGCAGGTGTTGGTGAGTATTTGATTTTCCCAATTTGACTATTGATCCATAAGAATAAACATTCATACCTCCAGCTCCCAGAGTGAGCTCTTGGAAGTATACTCAGCACCTGTCACCATCCTGCCCAAGAATCCTTGCTCCCGGGGGAGTCGGTCCTGGCACCATCCAGATCCAGTCCTGAGCACTAGTTTGGTCTAGCTGTCCAGCCGCCATCCCCTGGTCCTTCTGCACCGGCTCCATGGCAGAGCCGATGCACCTCCTGGTCCACCTCTCTTTTCTCACCTCCCTGCTTTGGCTCATGGCATCCTTTTTGCCTTGAAAGTCTGTTTTCTTTCTAAATTGAGCTTCCAACATCTGTCAAACCCCTTGGCATGAGGCTGTTCCTGCCTCCTGCCCTCTTCTGCCTCAGCATGGAGCAGAGAGCCATGCACACAGGTGGATGGGAGGAGATGTCTATGGCATTGCCCACCTGTTGGGGTTAGTTGTGAGGATGGAGCAGGATGAAGCATGTAACGTGCCTGCAAGCAGCGGGCATTCTGTGAGCTTCTGTCCCCTTTCCTTTTCTTCCTGGTTGTCAATCGGGGGCTGCCTGACTTCGAGGTTGGTGAGGCAGGGTCTCCTAAAATGTGGTGAGAAGCATCCTTTATGCTGGGTGGGCCTGGACTTGGTGTTTTTGAGTCCCAATCCATCTGTTTCATCAGAAAGGTAGTTGCATCAATAAGTCTCAGTTTCCTATCCTGGTAAAACCACCCCCAGCCCCCAGTGGTTAGACTGGGACTGGGCATTGGGTTTGGACGCGTCTCGTACCCTGGGATGCATTGTGCCGAAAGCAAGGGTATCGGGGGCAGAGGTAACGCTCGTCCTTTTGCCTGTCTCATTCATTCTCCTTGAATTTGCTTCCTTTGGAAAACATCCCTCAGTGGGAAGTGCTGAACTCCTGACCTTTGTCTCCTTGCAGACAGGTGACAGCAGGGACATGTCTCGAGAACTGCAGGACGTGGACCTGGCCGAGGTCAAGCCTTTGGTGGAGAAAGGGGAGGTGAGTGGAGACACCCCTGGCTGCTCTCCCATCACAGCACACACGTGCACACACACATACATGTGCACGCATACACACATCTGTGTGCACACACGCGTGCACACACACATATCTATGCACGCATCCACTGTTTCCAATAGGTGCTCTTGACCAGGAATGCAAAGGAAGGTGACAGATACCAGTTCAAGTCCTGGCTTGACCCTTAAGTGCCAAGAGACTGTGGATCAGATCCCTTGACCACCCATCTGGGCCTCTAGCCACACCTCACTGCTCTGTTTTGTAAAGTGAGGGCATGGACATCCTGTGGTTCTAGGACATGCCACATGAAGCCCAGTTGCCCATGGGCCCTCCTCACCCATAGCTTAGAGCTTAAGACCTGACTGTCTGAGTTCGAATTCTGGCTGTGACGCTTGGCAGCAATGTCCACTGGCGAATCACTCAACCTCTTCATGCTTCAGTCTCCCATCTGCAAAGTGAAGACACCCGGACTGACTTTATAGGGTGGGTAGAGCATCTGCAGAGAGTTCAGCATGTCAGAACATCTGGTTAGAGAGGGTGATAGTACCATAAAAGAGCAGGCACAGAGCGTCAAAAGCTGGAGCTGGTGAAGTATGAAGTTCCTGAATCCATGGCTCTTATGAGTAGTTCATGAGTGATGGGATTTTAATCCAGATTCCGGGGGGTCATGGGAAAAAAAATTTAAAAAGGACAATGACATGGTCAAGTTTAAGTTTTAAAAGTTTAGCATGTGGATTGGAGACAGACAGATCAGTTAATAGGCACTTACAATCCTGGACCTCTCAAGCTTGTGGTCAGCTTAGACCTTCAGATCTTTATTCACCACCTTGGGTTATAGCAAGACTATAGTCAGAAAAGAATCCAGCTAAGGTGTCTACTTTTCTGCTGCGCTGTTAGTCTTTAAGATGAAAAGGACGTTTTCTCTTTGTTCGGAATTAGGGAAATGCCAGAGGGGAGGGCAGATATAGACTCAGGCCTTGGAGAAGCCCCATGTTTTCCACCGTGGTTTCTCTGGCCCAGGAAACTGAACACTGACCACCGTCTTGTCTCCCCACAGACCATCACCGGCCTCCTTCAAGAGTTCGATGTTCAGGCAAGTAGAGGATGTCATTTCCCTCTCCCCCTTTCCTAGCCCATCTTCTCTCTCTCCTTCTTCTTTCCACTGGTTTTAAGTAACTCATTGTTCAAACATGTGGGGCAAGGGGCAAGAAGGTAGTGATCTCAGCTAGATCCCCACACCTTAGGCAGAGCAGCATCGGCTGGTTTGAGTTCTCACCATAAAGCAGGAGCTGGTCATTCGCTAAGCAACACAGAGAAGCAGCCTCCTTGGGCCACGTGGGGCTGGGCAGGGCTGTGGGGCATGTGGGGAAGTGGCCAGACTAGATGGGCTGAGGCCTCATGGTGGGATGGAATGGAAGGAAGGCTTGATGCTCTTGGCTGCTGCTTGGGAAAGTGAAACCAGCCTTCTCTGCGGTTTGCTGGCTCAGGACTGAAGCATGTCCATCCCCCTCAGGGGTGCGTCTTTCTCCAAAAACAAATTCTTAAGAGAGCAGTCTGGTTTCTCCTGGATGAGGGCAGAGTGTAAACCCACAGGCTGAGGTCAAACCCGGGAGCTGTAAGTACTGGACCCTTTATTCCAAAATGTTTGTGGGCCCCACATGTGTCAGGACTTGGGAGTAAGGCAAGAATCCTAAGCACATGGGGGCTTGTGGTCTCCGCTGAGAAGAGGAGGGGTGCTCACGGACAGGTAAAGTACAACAGATTTGCTCACCTGGCCTTCTACCTGCAGATCACACACGCATCCCAGGCTTCTGGCACATTCTGAGCTCTTCATCTCCATCACCTGTTCCATCCCTCCCATGCCCCTCTCCTCAAATAAACATCTTGCACATTTACTATTTTGCCTGGTAACTGAAAGGCTGGCGGTTCGAACCCACCCGGCAGATCTGCAGGAGAAAGACCTGGCGATCTGCTTCCGTAAAGATTATAGCCAAGAAAACCCTATGGGGCAGATCTACTCTGTCACATGAAGTCGCTATTGGTCGGGATCGACTCAGCAGAGCCTAACAACAGCACTATTTTGCAAGGAAACAGGTGTTAACAAGCGGTTTGTAATCGGCTGCTAACCCAAAGGTTGGTGGTTGGAACCCACCCAGCGGCTCTGTGGAAGATAGACCTGATGAACTGTTTCTGTAAAGATAATAGCTTAGAAAACTTCATGGAGCCATTCTGCTCTGTAACACATGGAATCTTCATGAGTCAGAGGCTGACTCGATGCAGCTAATAACAACAACACTGTTTTGCAGCTGGGGAAACTGAGGGACAGAGATGGGGGGCAGCTGGAGAGTGGGAGGTATGACATCTGATCCTACTTCTGTCGTTTGCACCCTCATAAGAGCAGGGAGAGACGGGTCACGGGCAATCATAGCTTTAAAAGTGCAGCCAGCTGTGACAGCCGTGGCCTGGTCTTTTGATTGGCTCTGCCCCCTGAGCAAAGCTGTAAATGAGCAGCCCCAGGGACAATCCGATCGTCCCAGTCTGGGCTGGATTGGGCTGGGCTGTGCCAGCTTCTGCCTGACAGAAGCCACCAGAACCTAATTTCTCTGTCACTGAAATGCCACTTTGTCATCCTCATGCACCCCGCTCCCCCGAGGAAGCAGCTCGTGGGCTCTGGTGGTGTCTTCTGCAGCAGTGCGGTGCCCACCAGCCTGCCTTGGTGTCCAGGCTGCAGCGCACCCAGAGTCGGCACCCAAGGGTGCACTGAACCTCCCTTTCCTTGCTTATTGACCCAGGGTAAGTCCCTCCACCTCCCTGCAGCCTTAGTTTCCTCATCTGTGAAATGGAAAGAGTCTCTCCAGCCTTGGTTATGTGGCAGGGTAGAGAGGATGATGGGACAATGATGTAGCCCACAGCAGGGCTGGGCCACCGGTAACACACCCTGTCTAATCACCCTCTTATGGATTTTTAAAATCTCAGCTATTTATTCTGGAAACCCTAGAAAGCATAGTTCATTTGTTTGTCCCCTGTGATATAACTCCTCACTTTTGTATTGCAATTAATAGCTGGCAAAGCACTTTTGTATGTTCCTGGCCATGGAGCACTGGTGGCTCAGTGGTTAAGAGCTTGGCTGCTAACCAAAAGGTTGGCAGTTTACATCCACCAGCCGTTGCTTGGAAACCCTATGGGGCAGTTCTACTCTGTCCTATAGGGTCGCTATGAGTCGGAATCGACTTGACGGCAGCGGGTTTTTTTTGGTCTAAGGACACAGGCGGTTGGTAGAGCAGAGAACAGGCACTGTGGCCCTGTGTTTGTAGGGTGCATGTTGGAAACCACTACCTCTCACTCCTTAGAAGAGGGAGCCAAACAAACCTGGAAACACGTAAGCAAGCATGACACTTCCAGGTACTGGGTGATGTGAATCTAGGTGACAGGATAAGGCATGGCTGGGGCGTGTTTTAGAGTGAAGGTCAAGGAAGGCTTCTTGAGGCCGTGATATTGAACGGAGACCTGAATGGCTGGATAGAGCCAGTCTTTTGACCAGGAGATTAGAGACAGTTGCATCCAGGTGGAGGCGGCTGGACCGAGCATAGCAAGTTCCTGGAGGAAGAGAGAGACACGGCTGGCTTGTCTGGAGCCTCGTTGGGTAGAGGGAGAGCAGAAGAGGGGGACGGGTCCAGAGCCCACGATTATGGGGCCTGCTCATGTACTCCATTTCAGGAGACATGGAAGTGTTTTTAAAGCAAGGAGGGGCTTGATTTAAATTATGATTAAAGACTGATAACGTTAATCTCTAAAGGGCCAGACAGTAAATATTTTAGGCTTTGTAGACGACACAGTCTCTGTCACATCTGCTCAACATTCTCTGTCATTGGAGCACAGAAGCAGCCACCAGTAACGTGAAAATGAATGAGCGTGGCTGTGCCCCAATAAAACGTCCTTCATGGACGTTTGAATTTCATGTGATTTTTGCATGTCGAAAAATACAGTAAAACCTGCAAAAAGCCGGAACCCGTGTAAGACGGAAACCTGGCAGAGAAAGAAAACTCAAATATTTTCCACTCCAAGGAGCGATAGAGAAGAGGTAAGACTGCACCCTGTCAAAGGCAGAGAACCTGCGTGACCCAGAAAAACAAAGCAGTCTTGTCGAGTTCCAGCTCTCACAGGCTTCCCTGTATTATTCCTCTGTGGATTGAAATGTGAAGATGTAAAAACCATCCTTAGTGGCAGGTCATACAAAAATAGGCCGTGAGCCTGAATTGGCCCCCGGGCCGTGGTTTGCCAGCGTCTGCTTCAGACAGTCACACCACTGGGCAGAGAGTGGAAGGTAGAGGGGCAAGGGCGGGAAAGTGACAAATCAGGAGACCATAGCAGTGGTGCAAGCAGGAGGTGATGGGGGCTTGGACCAGGGAGGAGAGGAGCTGGGGAGGAGGAGACTGAGGCTCTGGACTGGCCCAAGGCCAAGGCCAGTTGATTAGAACTTGGTGTTCTATTCCTTAAGAGCTGTGATCTTTGCTTTCACAGTCCTGTCTGAGAAGGTGGGGGTGAGAGGCTTTGTAAAAGGCTAGCTTCCCGAGGGAGCTCCTGGGTGGTGCAAATGATTAACACACTCAGCTGTTAACCCAAAGGTTGGAGGTTTGAGCCTACCCAGAGGTGCCTCAGAAGAAAAGCCTGGTGATCTACTTCCAAAAAATCAGCCATTGAAAATCTTATGGCACATGCTTCGACTCTGGCACGCGTAGGGTCGCCATGAGTCGGAATCAACTCCACTGCAACCGGTTTGGTTTTGGTTTTTAGCTTCCTCAGGGGACTAACGGCTTTGACCTCTGTGGACTAGGAGCGCTGAGGCTGGCAGAGGTCCAGCCCTGTCCCTGAGGCATTCTCCACCAGTAGAGCTCCATTTGTGAGTCTGACCTGAATTTGCACCTAAAAGCTTTGTGATCTTGGGCAAGTCCTTTATTCTCCTTGACAGAGTCATAAGGGTACCTACCATATTTTTACGCAAATAATGGGCACCTTTTACTTTTTTTTGCCAACCACCCCCACCTACGAGGTACGTGCTGCCATGCCAATATTTTTTTATATATTGCCATAAAAAAAAATTAGCAGCGTGCTTTCGAAAATACCTTGTGGGAGGAGGGAGCAGTTGGCAAACAGACGTAAAAGGTGTGCATTATTTGTGTAAAAATACAGGACCTCCAAAGTAAGAGGCTTGGTGATGCAATGGTTAAGTACTCGGCTGCTAACTGAAAGGTTGGCTACTCGAACCCACCCAGTGGCTCCGCGGGAGAAAAGACCTGGCAAGAAGCTCCCGTAAAGATTACAGCCTAGAAAATCCTATGGTGCAGTTTTACTGTGTCATATCGGGTTGCTATGCATCAGAATCGGCTCAGTGGCACACAGCAACACCACCACTTCCTAAGTAGTACCTGCTTCCTAAGGGTATTGAAAGGGTAAAACGAATTAATCCGTGTACAATACTTGACAAGGTTGCGTGGGCGTAGTGTGTAGTAGGTACTGCTGATTTACCAGCGTTGTTTACAGTCATTACCAATAATCTTTACAATTCAGGGTGGTGGAGTTGGCCTCTGGCTTGGATTCTATGCTCTCCAAGGGCAAAGATGAGGTATTGCAATGAGCTGTTTCTGGGATTGATCTTAATGAATCCAATATTTGAGCTGGAATCAGGAATGTTGAATGACATGTTGTCAAGGTTGTCACCAGATAGATCTTTGTATAAAACTAGTGTGTTTTACTAGTGTAACGCTGGATGCTCATTGGGCCTTGATGGACTACTGCTTGCAGGGCTGGGAGCAGAGAATGGCAGAGCCTGGGGGAAGGGTGGCCATAAGGCGTACCAGCCAGGACCCCAACCAGTGCTTCTGGCTTCAGGACTCCAGCAAGACAACAGTCACCTGTCTGCCGTGAACATCAGCGTCCTCTGATGAGCCAGGCTAGTGCCAAGAGATACCCCATGCCCTGGTGCTGAATCTTTCAGGACATGTACTATCATCCCACTTTACAGATGAGGAAACCGAGGCTTTCCCACGGCCAGCGGTGTTAAGTGGGCCACGCTGAATCCACACGACGTGATGC